TCAGCATTAATAAACAGCTCCTGGGTGATACTGATGGGCACCAGGTGATGAGCTGTGAATTGCACTTAGGGGAGCAACGTGCTAACGTCCTTAATAGCATTGACTTAATTTACAACAACATCCCTGAAGATGGTTAACCAAGCTGACACAGGACTCTTAATCACTGAAGGCTGGCGCCAGGGTACATCTCATAGCCACTTAAAATGGAATCATTTCATATCAGAGTCCTGGAGAAAGCAGAAGCTGCTGTCATGTTACCAAGAAGAAAAAATGGCTCATTGGAAAATACTGAATACACTAATTTGAATCTATGATAATTGGGAGAGTACTCTACCTTTCTAGGTATTCAATTTTTGCAGATTATGGAAGAAAAAAAATTTTTTAACTAGCATAGAAGAAACTGCTGCTCCATGGAAACACTGATTTGCATACATAAAAATTCAGTCTATAGACATCCTTTTCAACCTTGTCTGCACAATTGGAATCACCTGGGGGAACTTTTAAACATTAACATGTTAGATTTCACCCTCAGATATTATAATTTAATTGATTGTGGGGGAGGAAATCGGTGTTTTTTGAACACTCCTCAGGTAATTCTCACATGTAGTCACAGAGAATCTTTGATCATAGCAGTGGATCTCAAACTTGAGCATGCATCAAAATCATGCCTGGTTAAAACACGGATTACTGGATCTCACCTCTAGAGTTTCTGATTTGATAGGTGTGGGATGGACACTAAAGTGTACATTTCCAACAAATTCCCAGGTACTACTGCTGCTGGTTTGGGGCTCACACTTGGAGAATCACTCACTGACTTACAGCACTGTTTATCAGTCTTGGCTACACATTGTAATCACCTGGAGAGGCTTAAAGGCTACTTGTCCTTAGATCCCAGCCGCAAATATTCTGATTTAATTTTTCTGGGGCCTAGAAGTCTGTGCATTGAAGATTTTAAAAAGTTTCCCACATGACTAAAACTTGAGAAACATTAATGGTAATAAAGCAAACCCATTAGGTCTGAGGACCAGAAGCACTAGCTTTACCTGGATATTTGTTGGAAATGTAGTCTCAGGCCCAAACCCAGAGCTACTGAATCATAATCTGCATTTAACAGCATTTTCCGAGGGACTTCAGAAACATTAAAGGTGAGAAGTACTATAGTAGATAGCCTTTTAAAGTAACAATTTATTCATCTGTGTTATTTAAAGAAATTCTTGTAATAATTTTTGATAGTTCCTAAAAATGTTGTGGCTTATAATTTGGTCCAAACTCACTCCAGGTCATTGTAGCTTTACTAGTTGCCACTGCACAGACAATCACTTGGTTTCTGTTTGCTTTGCAACGGAAGGAATTAGTGATCCCAGCAGAAACAAACGGTGGACTTTCAAGTCTCAAGTAGAAAGACGGTCGAGAATAAGCAAGTCTTTAGGGAAGTAGTTCCACATATTTTTATCAAACTTATTATTCAAGATAAAGTGCTTTTTAGGTTAATGCCTTTTGATTTCAGAAAACCATATGCATTTAATTTATTACCAGAGATACAATACAGATAAATTCTTAATCGATGAAAGTTTTCATTATGCAACACTAAGATCCTGGAGGATGAGAGGTGGTGGGGAGTGTAATGTCTTTAAAAAAAAAGTTGCTAAATTGTGTTTTCCTAATTAGCCTTTCTTGGTAGTATTTTAGGGAAATACTGAGTACTCATAGATGATTATAATGTAGAAAGACCAACCATGTGATGTGCCAGAGCACTGGGTCTTAAACTTAAATGTGGTAGGAATCACTTATTAGAAGTAGATTCTGATTCCGTAGGTCTAGGGTAGGGCCCAAGACTGCATTTCTAACAAACTCCCAGATGCTGGGAAGCTGCTGGTTCATGGATCATACTCAGCAGCAAGAAGTTAGTGACTACTCTCCCAGGATACCTTTTTGTAAACTACCATCTCAGGGACTCAAAAAATCAAGAGGTCTGGTATAAATAGGAAGAAGGGTGATGTTGCTTTAAATGCTGATTTACTAATTTAAATCACCTGGGAAGAGAAAGCCAAAGGTCAAAATTATTCATAGACCTATCACTAATGGAAAGTTAATTGGGAAATGAAGAGTCATTTGAGGCAATTGCAAAATAGTAACACAAATACCTCAGATGACTAGTGGGGCAAAATTTTCAAAATGTTGCAAGCTGTCTGGATGCTTGAAGTAGCAATTTACATGCATAATTAGGTGCAATCAACAGTTTTGAAATGTAATATATTTTCCGAGTCCATATTTACTTGTAACAGATGCTTAAAAAAAACTATGTCCCCCAAAAATAGAGGGGCAGAAGAAAGGAGAAATATTTGCATTTAACAATAAGAACTTTTAAAAGGACATGTCTAAATTTAGAACAAATTAAATTGAAGTATTGTATATTTATTTTGATTTAATCTTCATTTAAACCTTGAAAGAAGTTCACAAACATATTTTGGAAGTAGCAAGCATGGAAGAAGAATAACTTACCAGTCAGCTATTCCTGCTGCTGTCTGAACTGACATGTGATTTTTATTTCTACACCGTAGAAAAAAAAACCTGACAAATTCAAACCTTTATTGCACAAAATACTATTGACTTTCTTCCTGTCTTCAGAAGGGGCTTCCTTCTCTAAAGATACCAAATATCTTTTAGGAAATTTAAATAAAGGTGATTTAAACTGCTAGTTTCTTTTTTGTAAATCAAGGTCTTCAGGTGAATGAATGCTCACTGTGAATGTATATTATCTTACTGTTCTCAATATAACAATGTTAGGTGCTCACTATGCACTAAGACACTCTAAGTACATTACACATATAATCTAATTTACCATTATAAACATTCTATAATGGTTGTTTATTACCAGGTACTGGGGAGGAGCTTACTCTATTTTTAACAAGTTCCCAATTTAGAAAATAAACTTGAAATCTAATTTTTAGAAAATTTGAAGGAAAAGAGAATGGGTAATTTGGGCCCTAAACTTTCTCTTCTTTTTCAAAAGCTTGTTCACATGGCATTATTCAGATTGGTTGTCTACATTGAGGAAAGTGGCAATTAATTTCTGTCACACAGGCAGCCTCAGATTAAGAGATAGCATTGAGGAATACAACCTAGTGATGTGTTCTTGTTTAACTGCATCTAAAGGGCAGTATGTCGATATGTAAAAGTTGTGTTTAAAGTTAATGGAAAGCATTCATGGGATGAGCAATGCAATTTTCCAGTTTCATCAAGCAAGTGTGATCTGTGATTTATGGGAAAAAAGCCATCATCTGCTAAGAAATGCATGAATAGTTCATTAATCTGCTAATCCATTTGGGAGCATTACGGAACTCAAAGCCCAGAACAATGGGCTGTATTTAATATTGAACAGGTTCTTGATAACCCGCCATTTATCTCCATAGCTGCTTGAAGGTCCCTCCTGAACCCGCAGAGTTGCGATAGCAGTTCCCGTGAAGTTGTAAGCTACTACCCAGCATTAAGTGCTGTTAAACTGAGAAGTCATCCTGATCACCTGACTAATGGTGAACCCCGATTTAAGAACTTCCAAGTCTACCCTCGCCATCTCTCTCTAAATTTGCAGACGCAGCGCACTGCTCGCCCTGGGGTCACCACCGAAGCCTCCTGGTGGAGCCCTGCTCTGCTGAGGACGCTCTTCCAGCACGGAACTCACCACCAAAAAGAGACGGCGCCCAGCTGGCGCCCGCCCCGGGCTCATTGCAGTAAATGCCTGGCAGCGACTTCTCGCTTCTCACTCCTCCTACCCCATCGACCCTCTGCTGCCGACCTTTACGCCAAACTCCGGCGCGCCGCGAGACTCGCGTCTTCGCAGTCCCCGAGGGGCCCCACCCCTTCCCGGTTCTAACCTGCGACCTGGCCAGAGGCAAGGGTAGGTCGATTCCTGCCCGCAATTTGCCGTTGGCTTCTCCTTCTCTAGTCCAGTTCTCTAGTGCAGGGCTGTGCGACGCGGAGCCACCAGCAGCAGAGCAGACCCCGGAGCGGAGCTCTGGAACACACACACAGCCCGGAGGGACTGACCCCCGAGGCGCGCGCGGCCGCGGGAGGGAGGGGACCCGGGCCAGCGCGGAGGCGGGGGTCACTGGGGTTGGGGGTGGGCGCGCCAGCCGTCCGCACGCTCCTCTTTCTAGTCCTCGCCGCCGCCACCTCGCCCAGGTCGGAGATCCCTCCTTTCCTCGGCTCCTTTGCGTTGGGGAGGGGGTAAGGCTGAGGGTCGGCGCTTGGTCAGCGGGCCGGGGACGGTAGATTTCACTTACACCTGACAGTCCCTATTGCCAGTTTGGCCGGGCACATCCCGGCGATCAGGTTTGTTCTTCCAGCAACTTTGTTCAGAAGGTTGGTAGGGAGGGGAGACGCCGAGGGGCCCCAAGAGACGCTGGAAAGCGGCGAGGAGCGTGGGCCGGGCTGGAGAGCAAGTCCTCAAGCGGCCCTGAGGCTGAGAGCGCGCTGGGAGGCGCCGCCGCCGCCGGGATGCGCTCTGCTTAGCGGGACTGCCGGGGGCGCCTGAAGGCCAGCGCTCCAAGGACACGCGGCCACCCGCTCCTCGCGCTCCCCGGCCCAGACGCCGCCAGTGCCGGAGCCGAGCAGGCGAGCGGAGCCGCTGGGAGCGCGGGCGAAGGGTGGCAGGAGGGAGGGCGCGCGGGAGGCGGCCCCTCCTCGGCGAGCCATGCGTGCCACGGGCAGCTGAGGAGCTGCCGGGCGCCGCTGCCAAGTCTCCGCTCCGCTTTTGTCTTGCCCTCCAGTGAATGGGAAGATGGAGATGGATGTTGAGGGAGTTTCTCCGAGCCCGGAGCCCATCCCCCGCTCCCAGGGGGTTGGCGGAGCCTGCCAGGCGCCGCCACAGCCTCCCCAGCCCCTGCCGCCGCCGCAGCCGCTGGCTCAGGATGAACTGCCCGGCGAGAGTGCAGGCGCTGAGGACAGCGACGATCCCGAGACGAGACCAAACGGCGAGAAAGGAGAGAGCAAGGTAGGTCCACAGTGTTGGCGCTGTGATACCTTTTGAACAAAACCAAGGAGTTGCTGTCGTGGCTGTCACTTTAACCCCTCCGCTCCCCAACCCCCTTCCCTCGTTTGTGTGGGGGTGGGGGTGGCAGATGTGAAGAAGGCTTAAGATTAAGGGAATCCATGGGCGCTAGTGACTTTCCGAACTGGAGGGTATGTGCAGAAGTCTGTTCTGGTTTCAGTGCTCAGCGGTGTGTGCAGAGAAAAGTCTTCTGGTACATGCGGTGTGATGCTCTGGGCGAGCACAGCACCTCAGCAGAGCAGTGTTGAGACCTTTGCTTGCCCTCGCCGTGTAACTGAGACTTATTTGGATGATATAGGTCCGGGAAAACATATCTTTAGGATCTGCCAAGTGGCTTCTGAGACTCCTTGGAGGGAGGTGACATCAACCTAAAGATGATAACAATAGGAGCAAAGTTTGGCTCATTTGCAGAATGGAGCGCCTTGCTTAACCCCGCTCTAAGCTGGAGGTCCTCCTCCTGACCTGGTATCCTCCTTCTAGGAGGGCAGGAATCAAGAGCCTGGCAGCAGATGAGCCCTACAAATCTTTTGCAGCCCTGCTGTGTCATTGTAGACCAGCGGATACCTGCTACTTACTGTGGAAAGAGGAGTTCTTCAGGTAATTGGATTCCAGTAAGAAATGGCTTGAATGTTATTTTCTGGTGCTGATGTCTCTTCTGCTGAGAAAATTGTAAAGTAGAGGAAATGGCATAGAAAATATTGCCTTGGTAGTATTAGGAGGGTGTGTTTATTACAGCTTTGTCTCTGGGTAGTCTTCCTTCACACACTCGGAGTTTAGTTTTCTGGAAGCTAATGTTGCTTTGTTTTATCTGTATAAAGTGTACACTGTATATGTGTTAATTAATATATTTTGAAACTGGCTGGTAATATTGGGGAAAAGTTGGTTCAACAAATCAGAATATTGGAAACAAATGAGTCAATCTGTCTACTTTCTCACTTTTGCTCACTTAAAGAAGTGTGCAGGAAAATGGGCACGTCTGCTAGTTAGAACGGAATCGTGTGTCATAAAGTGCCCCTTCTTGGAGACTGCCTTGGTTTCTGTTAGAGCTTTTGTAAGACACTAGTGCATTAAACAAATGCTGGAAATGTGTCAGGATCACATTGAATTGCTGTTCAGTGTTTGGAGACAGGCTCACTTAACAAGTTCAGATTTGCAAATGTTCAGAATTGTTTTGCATTTTGAAACGGAGCTAAGAATCAAAATTGTTGTTTATCTTCCAAAATCAATATTGTTATTTAAATGGCAGTTTACCAAGGAACTAGAATTTGAACACACTCTAGATGAGACCAGGGTGCCTTACAAATGCATACAAGATTTACATTGTGAAAACTATGATGAATTTTAATATTCCAATATCCTCAGCTTTCCAGTCGCTCTTGATTTCATGAATATTTAATTCTGTCATGACTGCATATTTACTAGTTTAAATGACTGTCTGTGCTCAGTTTTATGAAATAACCATAACTGAGCATCATATTACCTAATTGAACTTTAAGTCTCTTTTGCAAAATAGGTGTGGAGAATAATTAAAATATACAACCAGTGCTGCCATTTCCATATAGTTGATTCATATGCCCTGAGCGCGAGAAATTCCTGCGATCAGCAAAAATGTGTGCTTATTTGTTTCCCTTTGATGCACCATGCAGACTGTCTAATGTTTTACTGGTTGTGAGGAATAAGGAAGGCAATGCACTAGAATACTACAGCAGGTGAAGAGAGGACTGAAAGCAGGTTGATTACATTTAGTTAATTAGCATGTTCACATAATTGAGTATTCTGATGGTGTGATTTGCTTCATGTTTGTCTGCAATTTCTTGAGGTGGAAACAAAATACTGCATTCTTTTTCCTCCAGGTGTTTGTCTTAAAACATTGTGTTTCATCCTTCTCCTAACCTACAAACCAGCTGTGTTAACCCTTTGCTTGCCTCTAATACTGTCCTACTGGTTCTTTTGAGTCTGAGGTTGGTTGCTATGTTTCAGACTTTCATAACTGTTTTTGCCTTTGACGGATACTAAGGCAAGTTATAAATTGATTTTTCTTAGCAAATCCTTATTTCATTAGGCGGGAGTCCTTTGGCTGTCTGACCAAATTATTCTATTAAAATATAAATGGAAGGACAAACTGCTATAAAGTGAAATGGGGTTTTACCAAGCTTCTTGGGGTGAGATGGAGGAATTTATCATGGTATGGTTTTCAAGCAGTAATGTACAAACACAGTGTACCAGATGATTATGTTTTCTTCTCATTCGTAAGAGCAATAAAATACAAATTTCAAAAACAGAATGATTTACTTTAACTTTACCGTAAGGGTATTATAAAGAGGATGTGAGTGGATATGTCCCTTGAAAATTAAGTATCAGGGACTAATGGCTTTTTTTTTTTTTTTTTAAGATTCTGGTTTAGGGCCATGATTTATTCTCATATGAATTTATCTCAGTTGTCTTATTGGAAAAGAAACCAGAGCTTAGCGCCAGATCAGCTTGTCTCCTAAATTGCAGGTTCATGGGTCATATGTCCGCAGAAAGTCTATGAAATAAGAAGAAAGGTTAGAAAACTGGATCAGTCAGGGGATGTTTTACGCCCGAGTTTCATGATGTGACTGGTGCTTTCTGTCCTAGAATAATGTTTCCTGATTCCTCTCTAGCAAATACTCTTCAAAGAAATATTAAAGCAGCTGCATATTATATATGCTTTGATTCCATGAATTCAGGAGGAAACAGACCCGAAATAGAACATCTATTCTTCCTCTGTGCTTTAAGGCAGGTTTATATTAAACCCTTGCAAAAGCAGCCTCTTCTCTTTGCAATGACATCTAAAGACAATATTGTAATCACCTTTGATGACCTGGTGAGATATTTCCTCACCCATTATTTCAAGACCACCTTCCTCATGTCTGGAAAGAGGTCCTCTAAACTGGATAAATCTCTTTTCTTTTGGTCTTAGCAAAGAAGATTAAATGATCATGGTCCTTAAGTAAAAGACCTTCAAATTCTTGAAAGTGCTCTTGATTTTGGATTTGATCATCCTCAGCACTTTCTTAGAAAGTTTTCTGTGGGCTCTAAGTATCTATCCTTTCATTGCTTTTTAAAATTCTTCTGAAATGCTTTGGTTATAACAAAAAACTCTTGGATGGGTGTTTCTGAAACTTCCTTTGGAAAAGTTTAAAAAATAACTTTCTTATGTCTAGGACCTGTACTCCAGTGTGTTATTCCCTTTATATTATAAAGTTACTTATATAAATGTGGAAATTCTTTCCCGATCTGATGCCAGACGCAAATAAAAATGATTGTTTCTTTCAGGTTCATCTCATTCATATATTTTCTTTTTTACTTCATTCCTCACACCCTATACATGCCTCTCCTCCCGCTGCCAATACTGTTTACTACAGTATTTTTTATAGAAGGTATATTTATGGCCCAGATGTAAAGCATTATGACCAAACTCTCTTTTTTGCTCAGCTCTTATTAAACCCTTGGTTTGCAAGATGTGTTATTCCCATGGCTTTGGATTAGAGGAACTCTGTGCTGTTGCTACCAATGTTACATTGTTGATGAAAATGACTCAATTCTCACTTCAGCTGTATTCCATAGGTAATGCTGTTCTTACAGTCATTCTTTAGGAGCATACTGTAGGGACTCTTACCTAGCATGTCACTACATTTTTGAAAGCCTTTTATTTTGGAAATAGATTTACATTTATAGAAGAGATGCAAAGACATATTCTTTGCCCAGCTTCCTCTAATATTAACAACCTACATAATCAAGGTATGTATATTACAATAAAGAAATGAACATTTGTATGAAACTACTGATTAATTTGTATAGAAAAATCTTTTTTGAGTGAATGTGTAACATATAGATGCTTTCCATTCTATTCTTTTAGTCTTTAAGGTGATCTTTATACCTGAAAGGCTCTGTGAGAGGGTATTTAAGAGTAAAATTTAACTTCGGGGTGACTATCTCTGCTCCCTTTTATCTGTTAAGTAGGAACAGCTTGCAAAGTGCAAAGTTGGAGGTTTCTGGAGCTCTGCATCAACTTCAGTGAGCCCTGGGGGAGTTACAACTTTGGCAAAGCTCTGACTGCTTTTAGCTCCGGAGGAATAATGGTCTTCCTTTTTTCGTTTTAAACTGAAAAACATTCCTGCTCCAGGTAAGATAGGGTTTGTCAGTACACAGAGGACAGCAAGTCTCAAGTGGCAGATAGAGGATAAAAGGCAATTGATAAATTCAAGGTAGTTCACTTTGATGCCTAACTCCTTGGGTGATTGTTTCTGGCATGAAATATAATGGAAGCCTTTTTGGTTTTGCATCGTATATTAACCAGGTGGACTCTGACTTCTGGCACAGAAGCAGAACCATGTCCACAAAAGGTACGATGTCAAAGTGACTAAAAGTGTTGACTGTGAAATAAAAGCGACCGTAGTTTGATCCTGGCTTGGTCTTTTAGATCTTGATCTTAGACAAAGTCTTAACCTTTCAAAGCTCAATCTTTTCATCTGTGAAATAGGAATAATTATGGTGCTAACTATCTATGGTTACTGTATCGCTGGAATGAGATAAAATGTGTAGAGTTTTCAATTCAGTGACTCATAGGTAATGACTTCTCAATAATAGTGAATAAATTTTATAAGTTGGGGCTCCAAGTCCCCCTGAAAATTTAGGGGGGACTTGGAGCCCCAACTTATAAAACCAGAGTGTTCTGGGACTGGAAATGACACAGACATACTTTTCTACAGTAAAACCAAGTTGGTGCTCATGTACCTGATTTTGCCCTGTGGTCCTTAAGATGTTCTCAGGTCTTTCTTGGTGGGCAGAAGGTTAGCAAATAGTTATCTTGACTTGTCAATAATCTGCTGTTTTCTCATCAGGAAAGCCAAGGAAGAGCAGGATGAAAAAGTCTCTATATCCCACCCCAAGCCCCAGAAATATGCCTAAGGCACTATAAAGCAAAGGGATTGCTCTGCTTTTGTACGTTATATTTATGGCTTTTCAGGAAGATTAGGTGGCAAATCTTAAGACTTAAAAATGATTGAGTTAAAAAGTTGTATCTGTTAGGGCTCCATGGTTGCAGGAAACAGAAACTAACTTTAATTTGAGCAAAATATTGTATTTTAAAATTTTAACGTACTTACAAAATCAAAGGGAAAATGACAAAACTGGTTTTTGGGAAGTGCTGAAATAAGAGATGCTCGGATTTAAGTAGTAGAAAGTACAGAAAGGTTTCTTAAGGGTGCTGACATAAGAAAAATAAATCCCAGCCATTTTTCACTTTTATGCCCCTCTTCTCAAGACCTGGATTTTATAGGAAGGTTATCTAATGGCCTCTCTTGGGTCAGATAGCTGCTTCTTGGCCAGGTTAAGGTGGGAATCCTCGATGCAGATTCTGTCAAATTGTATCTTTTGGAAGGAGTATAATTCCTGGAAAAAAAATTATGTTGCTGTTATCAGACCAAAGAAAATGGGTACTAGTTGCCAAAACAACCATGATAATCCGTTTCCAAAACAGAGAGAGGGACAGAGAAAGAAGGAAAAACAGAATGAGAAAAAAGGAGAAGGAGAAATAGACATGTATTTAGACAAGAATCTGGAATAATCAG